TGCTGCTGCTGCTGCTGCTGCTGCTGCTGCTGTTGCCGCTGCACTTGTTCATGCAACTGCTGCTGCTACAGCTGCTGCTGCTCTCGTTGCTGCGTCTGCACCCACGTTGAAGTCAGCCGGGAATGCTTGCTGCTGACCCCTGCTGCTGCTGCTGCTGCTGCTGCTGCTGCTGCTGCTGCAGGGGCTGCGCGTGGAGCTAAGTGACCCCGAGTGTCCGCCTTTTCTCTTTAGCTGCAGCATCTCCAGCAGCAGCTTTGCTGCGCTGCAGCAGCAGCAGCAGCTGCGTGTAGACTTCAAGGCATTCGGCTTCAGGGTACGCCCCCCTCAAACCCTAAACCCTTACAAAACCTAAACCCTTACAAACCCTAAACCCTCACAAACCCTAAACCCCCCATACCCTAAACCCTAAACCCTAGGCGCTGCTTCCTACATAGAACCCCTAGAAGCCCCTTCTCCGCCTCAAAACCCTAAACCCTCGTGCTGCAGATTGTTATGGATATAGGGTTTAGGGTTTAGGGTTTAGGGTTTAGCGTGCTGCTTGTACACCGCAGGTCGTTGATCTTGTAAAGGAATGCATTGCTGATGCTGCTGCAGAGCCGCTGCAGCAACGGTAAGCTGTGTTGCTGTTGCTGCTGCTGCTGTGGCTGCTGTTGCTGCTGATGCTGCTGTGGCTGCAGTTGTTGCATCTCCGCGCCGCCGCTGCTGCTGCTGCTGCTGCTGCTGCTGCAGGCTTGTTGCAGTGTTGGTTTTGTCTCCAGAGGCTGCTGCTGCGCAGGCTGCTGCTGCAGCTGCTGCGGGACTGGCTGGGTCCTCCACAGTTGCTGCTGCTGCTGCAACAGCTCTGTCTTCTGGGGAGACGCCTGAAGCAGCAGCAGCAGCACGACGTGCTGTTGCAGCAGCAACAGCAGCAGCAACATCAGCAGCAGCAACTGCAGCAGCCAAAGGGCCTCCTGCTGCAGCTGTGTTGCGCCTGATAGAAACAAATGCATTTAGGGAGTTGATTCATTTGTATTTTGACTTGAAGGCAGCAACATCTGCTGAGGTGTACAGACACCTCACATCCCACCTCCAGTACTTCCAGGTAACGACCTGACTGCTGCTGCTGCTGCTGCTGCTGTTGCTGTTGCTGTGCTGTATGGAGATGCTGTTGCTGCTGCGGTGTATGAACATGCTGCTGCTGCTGCGGTGAATGGGCATGTTGCTGCTGCGCTTGGTTTGCTGCTGCTGCTGCTGCTGCTGCTGCAGCGTCACTGCGCCAGTTTTCGAGGGGCTGCAGCAGACCTCCAACGAGAGAACCGCCAGTTGCTGCTGCTGCTGCAGCAGCAGCAGCAGCAAGTGTAAGTGTCAGTTGTCCCTCAGTCTTAGTCAGCGCAGCAACTTCCAGCAGCAGCAGCAACAACAGCAGCAGCAACGGCAGCAACTGCTGCAGCAACTGCTGCAGCACGAACTCGTTCGCATGCTGGGTGGTGCTGTGGCTTCAGCGAGGCGTCTCTGGTGCAGTTTGCGCAGCAGCAGCAGCAGCAGCAGGAAGAAGCAGCTGCTGCTGCAGAGGAGCAGCATCGGCAACTGGTGCTGCACCACCAGCAGCAGCAGCAGCAACAGCAACAGCAGCACGAGGAGCAATGCCATCACCTCACCGAGCGGCTGCACAGCGCAGAGCAGCGAGTGCTGCAGGTGGGTTGTTCTTGCTGCTACTGCTGCTGCTGCTCTTGCTGCAGTTGCTGGCCTTCCTGTTGCAGCTGCTGCTTTGCTGTTGCAGCTGCTGCTGACGCTCCTGCAGCAGCTGCTGCTGCTGTTGCAGATGCTGCTGCTGTTGCGAAGGCTTTGTGTTGCTGCTGGAGTGGCTGCGTGGTTTGCTGCAGCTGGAAGGCACTGCAACGGAGCAGCAGCAGCAGCTGCAGGCGCTGGAGCAGCAGCTAGCTGATGCCCGTGCTGCTGCTGCTGCTGCTGCTGCAGGAGAAAAATCCGCGCAGGAAGCAGCGAGGCAGTCGCAGCTGCAGCAGCAGCAGCAGGCAGAGGAGCTGCAGCGTGTGCAGCAGCAGAACAGCAGATTGCAGCAGCAGGTGCAAGAGCTGAATGCAGCAGCGCAGCGTGCGGAGCAGCAGCAGCAGGAGCGCAGCAGCCAGCAGCAGCAGCAGCAGCAGGAGCTGCAGCAGATAAAAGCGGACCTTGCTACTCGTGCTGCTGAGGTTGAGCATCTCCTTAGAGAGCTGGAGAGAGTGAGACAGCTGCTGCTGCTGCTGCTGCTGCTGTCTTTCTATTTCTCCCTGCTGCTGCTGCTGCTCTTTTGTCTCCTCTGTCTCTTTCTCTCTGTCTCTCTTGTCTCTCTTTGCTTTCTTTTTTCTTTGTTTGTCTCTCTGTCTCCTTTTTTCTGTCTCTCTGTCTGCTTCATATATCTCCTTTTTTCTTTATTTCTCGTTCTGTCTCCTTTCTGTCTCTCCGTTGTTCTTTGTTTGTCTCTTTTTTTTTTCTTTATTTGTCTCCTTTTGTTTTTTTATTTCTTCTCTCTCTTTGTTTTCTTCTTCGTGGCTCTGCTGTGTCTCCTCTCTTGCTTGTCCCTCTGTGCAAGCAACAATAGCAGCAGCAGCAACAGCAACAGCAGCAGCAACAGCACCAGCAGCAGCAACAGCAGCAGCAACAGCAGCAGCAACAGCAGCAGCAGCAGCAGCGTGTCTGTTGCGGTTCAGGGGAATGAAGTCGTCGCGAAGCTGCAGCAATCACTGCGCAGCAGCAAAGCCAAAGCCAAGCAAAGCGCAGCAGAGGCTGCAGCAGCAGCAACGGTGAGTTGCTGCTGCTGCTGCTGCTGCTGTAGATGCTGCTGATGATACTGTTGCTGCGGCTGTTGCTGAGCCTGATTCTGCTGCTGTGCTGCTGCTGCTGCTGCTGCAGGCAATGCACGAAACACAAGCGAAGCTTAAGGAGCTGGAGGAAGCGCAGCAGCAGAAGGAGCAGCAGCAGCAGAAACTGCAGCAGCAGCAGCAACAGCAGCACAAACAGCAGCAAATGCTGCACGCAGAATGCCAAACCCTTGCATCCCAAGTCCAGAGGCTTCAGGCGGAATTAGAGGCATCGAAAGAAAGTGAGCGCTGCTGCTGCTGCTGCTGCTGCTGCTCCTGCTGTTGCTGCAGTTCCTGCTGCTAGTGCTGCTGCCACTGCTGCTGCTGCATGTGCTGGTATTACACTCTAGCTGCTGCTTGCTGCTGCTGCTGCTGCTGCAGTGAATGCACGTCTCAACAAGGAACTGACCTCTCGTCAGCTGCAGCTGTACCTTGACCGTTACGCCATGCCGCAGCAGCAGCAGCAGCAACAGCAGCAGCAGCAGCAGCAGCTGGAGAAGCATGCAGCAGCAGAGGCAGCATCTGCTGCCCAGTCTACCGCCTCACCTACTGTGCCTCTGTCTCCTCGTCAGCAGCAGGTGCAGCCCACAGTGCAGCAGCAGCTGCTGCTCCGCCAGCAGCAGTTCGCAGCAGCAGCAGTACCACCAGCAGCAGCAGCAGCAGCAGCAATTCCAGCAGCAGCAGCAGAGTCAACTGCCAAGCTGCTCGCTGCGCTGCGGCCAGTACCCGCACCGTGTCGCCGTACGTAGTAGCTCTAAGATGCTGCAGCTGCTGCAACAGCAGCTGCAGCAGCAGCTGAGCAGCAGCAGCCGCAGCAGCTGCTGCTGCTGCAGCTGAGCAGCAGTAGCAGCTACTGCTGCAGCAGCTGCTGTTCTTTGTGCCTAGAAACCGTACATTTTAAGATATGACATTTCGTTGCTGCTGCATCAACAGCCCTTCGGCAGCAGCAGCAGCTGCTGCTGCTGCTGCTGCTGGTGTCGGGAATGCGATATATGTTATATTTTTAATACGCTGCTGTTCCTGCTGCTGCTGCTGCTGCTGCTGCTGCTGCT